GATACATGTATGCGTATAACATATAGTTCACTGATGTTTCAAGAATCATCAAAAGCAAATACTATAGCTTTCTGGTTTTTATTATGTACAAAACCTGCATATCTCAGGGAAATAACTCCATGTTTTCCCCCTTCCATCTTAATTATAAATCTGTTCCCATCACTACACACCACTAGTGTGCAATATATTCAACATATATATTAATCTTGCATCTTCTTCACTTTGATCACTATTTCCAGAGATCAATCTGATAACTAGAAGAAGTAGAAGCAGCATGAGCATACTCTTCTCCCATTTCAACAACCCTTTCAGAATCATTCTCCAGCGAATTCATTCCCTCATCTTCGACTTGATAAGCCGTGTTGCTCGCATCGATCTTGGTTTTCTTTTGATCAGCAGAAGCCGCGGCTTTAGCCTCCTCATTGCTTAGCTGAGAAGCAACAAACTTATCAAGAACTCTCCAATCCGTAGTCACTTGCTCCACTCCTTGATCATAATAAAGAGAGCTGAAACTTTGATTCCCTTGATGTGATTGTTCCTCATGAGATAGATTTGACGATTGCTGCAAGTTACCAATATTTCTTTTGTTATTATTGTTGTTGCTTGATCCATAAGGTAGAGACTTGCAATTACTGTTAGGGCTTTCAAGTTGAGGAAGCTGGAGGAACATAGATTCATAAAGATGATGGTATTGTTGTTGATGTTGTACCATATGATTGTATTGTAGCTCGAGTTCTTGCTTGCGTTGCAAGTTATGGTTGTTGTTATTGTTGTTGACTGCATAAGCTGAAGTCGCATTAAGGCCATAAGGCAATGGTTGCTGGTGATGGTGGCGGTTATAATGATGATGATGGTTGGGAAGAATCCGCCGTGGAGAGTTGGAATCGAGCTCCGACGCCATGAAAGAGAGCTGATCATCGTACCAATGCGATGGTGAAGAATCGTAATTTCCCATTCTCCTCACCGTTGCCGCCAATCTTTTCTTGAAAACCCTACATACCACCCATCCTTCTTCCTGCACACAAATATTACATAAGAAATATCACATTTACAACATCATAAATATTTATACATTTACATCACTTGTACATCTATAACTAGAAATTTTTAGATTCACTGAATTTTAGTCTTCACATGACATC